ATTAGCGTATCTATTAAGAACAAGTATCTGACCTGTGACAACACCGGGATTTATCGATGCCTCCTCTTTCGAGATTGTGAACACTCTAGCAACCGGAGCCTCTGGTGGTGCCTCAAGACGCCCTTGCTGGATGGATGGTCCTTCTAGATAAGCCTGCATATTATGGACAGCCGCTGAAGGTGTTGGATTTCTTGGCATGTGAGTGATCTGGTAGTTTTGGTGATTCTTTCTTGGACAATCTCTCGACATATGGCCCTCAAGGCCGCAAGTGTAGCAAGCTCTAGAACCCAATCTGCTTTGGCCTGGATGATTACGGCCACAATTTGCACACTGTGGGAATTTCATCTGTTTATTTTGGTGTCCCTGATGGTGACCAGCTCCTTTTCCATCATTGCCTGTGAAGTTTCTCTTCTTGTTACTCTTCGAATTGTTCATGTGTCGTTGTGATTGATTCTGTGACTGCGAAGGCACAGGCTGCGGCTGAGCGGGTACTGGACCGCTAGAGATGTAGTACTCCTTTTGAGTTGCTATAAAAACACAGTCAGCTAGTGTAGCTGGAGTCTGATTGCCATTCTCCAAGTGAACTGCTATGTCCTTCCTAAGAGCTGCCATGAACATCCTCACCTTATCTCTTTCCGTCGGCGCAGCTGTAGGACAAATACGTAGCAGTCTCTGAAATTTTGCCGCCAAGGTTGTAACATCCATGGTTTCCTGGCGTAGACTCTGAAGCTCATCCCGGTACCTACGTGTGACACTAACATTGAAATACTGGTTGGTGAACTCCTCTTTGAACTGCTCCCATGTCATCTGCGCGATGTTGTACCTTGTTTCCACAGTCTCCCACCATATTCGAGCATCCATGGTGAGGCTGTAAGATGCACATCGAACCTTGTCATTTTCTGTTAGTTCCAACCCATTAGCAATGCCTTCCACGGTCTTCAGCCATCCCTGAGCAGCTAGAGGGTCTGGACCCCCCTCGAAATCCGTGGGCTTGATCTTCCTCCATGTGATCATCAAAGGTTCTTGTCTCAGTGCTCCGTGTCCCCTAGCATGATTATTTCCAGCATTTCCCCCTTCACCACCGCCCCTTTGATTGTTCGCGGTCAAACGGTCGATGGTTTGTTGCTGCTCCTGCAACTGTCTCTGAAGTTGTGCTACTAATCCTGCCAAATCCTGCTCGTGATTGTTTCCCTGCTCATTGTTGCTACCAACTGGACGACCACGGGTTCTCCTCATTTTCTTAAGGCACCTAAATATAAACTTTTATTTATGTGCCATACACAATACAAAAGGCAAAACATTCTCACTTCTGTTCTCTATCTAATAAAACTCTTCTTGCTCAAGCACAGAAATTTAAAACTAACTGTAAATACTTACTTGGAAGATGATGAGCACGTGTACGGTGACAAATGAAGTTACGGGACAACCTGGGCTCTGATACCAAATTTGTAATGCCCCTCTCAGGGTTAAAGGAAACGTCACATAAATTACTACTATATAAAAAAAACTGCAATATAACGGCCGTTTGTTTAAGAAATAACCCTGATAAAAATCTCAAATATAACAAAATTATAGCTCCTAAATAAAAACTCAAAAAATCTAGTTATCACCAGCAAATGTGATAACCACCTGGATCCAGGAATTTACTAAAACTGCAAAACCTCAATTATATAAAGTAATAATAATCTTTTTATTCTCACTGAAATACTGGAGTAAAATAAAACTAGCTAGAAGCCGCCAAGGTCGTTCCCGTTAACTCATCTTGGCACGCGTTCCACTCCCTCATCATCTTCCTAGGCCTTGGCCTTACCCTTAGTATCTATACATGCGTAGAAAGAAAACTGATAAGCTTTACGCTTAGTAAGTCACTATGGACCCACAAAAATATCTGAGAAGTCTATGCTAATTTATCAATAGATAAATTTAGACTATAAGCATGCACTAAACAAACAACTAACAAATAGCTTCTCGAATAAATTCTGAGAGATTCCAAAAGAAAATATTTTCTAAAATAATTTCTCAAAACTACTGGAGAGATCCCAAAATTTCTTTCTCAAAACATTTCTGTAAACTTTCTGAAAGAGATCTCAAAACAACTTTCTATAAAACTCTTTGTGGCTAATTTTAACTGTGGGCCCGTGATATGTACTCAAAGGCGCCAATCCGACAGCTCAGGGGAGCGACCCACTAAACATATCGGACTCTCTGAAACTGATAAACTGATAATCTGAGGGAACTTGTTTCCGAGTACATATCACCTAATCTTTCACTTTAAATATTAGTTCTTTTTATAGTGACGTTTGGGTAAAAAAAAACATCATTAAAATCTTCAAATAAAGTACTGACATAATCTTGACTATGCCAGATAATAAACATAACTTAATACAACAATTACAATAACTCAACAAATAATTAGCCAAGCTCACATAATAGCGAATAGTCTAAAATCATCTACTAAAAATCAACCAGACTTCTTTCTTTCATTTGGTTGAACAAACATGTACAGGTGGTAGTGAACTTACCTGTAAGGAGCTGAACTCGAAATACGCAAATAAGTGTGGCACCTTGATAACGTCTTCCGATAAGCTCTTCTCTTAAATCTTTAATTAAATGAAATGATACAATAAGAAGCTACTAGTGACTAACATGACTGTTACGGAGGCTTTACTTGGAAATCCCTATCAGAAAGTTTAATTTATGTGATGTTTCAATACGGTAAAATTGCTAAACATAAACTGAATGGGGCAGTCAACTTTACTTAATACGATAGTACGTAGTATAATATTACTATCAAAATCCATTATACTTAAATGAGTTAAACCAGAGCTCTGTAACTAACTTTATAGTTTGCTGACTAAAACATCAACTAAATGTTCTTTATCTAGTATAATCAAATTGGAATTCAATTGTAAGAGAACGATTTAGACAGCTTAGTTTTTTTTCTTTCGTTTACACAACTGTCTCTCCCTGGCCTACCCTAAACAATTCAGTGTGAACCTGAATCAATAGATCCAAGTTCCAGGTGGAGAAGGTACAGCAGCACCACAGGCCAAACAAAATTTATTCAAATTTGCTAGTATTTTTTTTAACAGAATTGAAGTGGCCACTCTATGAATCGTACCAGCAATTCTCCTCCATTTAGATTCCAAACGTACAGAAGTTTAAAAAGAGTAAAATCATTCATCTAGATTCAAATTCGAGGTCAATTCATGAATTCAAACTTTCGAAAACCTTTAAACGCATAATGGGACTAACGAAACATTTGTAGATATTCCTCCCATAGAAGTAAAATTTAACGTACCAGGCTTTTGACTTCTTAAGTGAGAAAATTTCCGTATAGGAAGGAAGAGCAAGAGCAGCCGCGAACAAGAGAAGAGAACAATAGACTAATTTTAGCTAAAGTGCGGACCAAGGGTTTTCGGGTGCTTCAGCGGCTCTTATCCAGAAAGTGGCGTAACTTCTCTAGGGATTTAGTTTAAAAGAGACTTACTTGGGCTAAGATTGATTTGGGTTCCTAATGTTCTTAAAAAAAATCCAACATTAAAAGTATTCCGTATTTTAAAATAAACTGAGTAAGCTTTAAAACATTACTTATTTCTTCACTTAAAATTATTAGAGCTTACCGGTCAACGTTACCTGCCAGAACAACACGTGATCAAACAACAAATCACATTTGTCATGGAAGAAACTTATTTAACTACCTAAAATAAATATTAATATTGATTAATATAACTAACTCATAAAATCGGGGTGTTACAACCCCACCTACCTTATAAAAGTTTCGTCCTCGAAACTTAGAACAAGTCAGGATAACGACGTCTCATGTCATCCTCAACTTCCCAAGTAGCTTCTTCAACTTTGTGATTTCGCCACAACACTTTTACTAGAGCTATCTCTTTATTCCGAAGACGTCTAACCTCACGATCAAGAATTTGTACTGGCTTCTCCTCGTAAGACAAATCATTTTGCACTTCTACTGTTGGGGGGTATCAAAACATGCTCCGGATCAGCAAAGTATTTTCTCAACATCGAAACATGGAAGACATTATGAATGCCAGAAAACTCTTCAGGTAGCGCGAGCTCATAAGCTACCTTCCCAACTCATTGGGTGATCTCATACGGTCCGGTGAATCTGGGGCTAAGCTTTCCTTTCTTCCCAAATCGCATCACGCCCTTCATCGGGGATATCTTAACGAAAACAAAGTCCCCCACTTCAAATTCTAGAGGTCTCCTCCGAACATCTGCATAACTTTTTTGTCTACACTGAGCAGATTCTATCCTTTGTCTGATAGTCTTAATAGCTTCTGAGGTCTCATCAATCAGCTCAGTCCTTCCTTGTAACTCATCTTCTAGAATCTTCTTTTCTCCCATTTCATACCATGATATGGGAGATCTACACCTTCTCCCATACAACGCCTCATATGGAGCCATGCCGATGGTTGCTTGGTAACTATTATTATAAGCAAATTCCGCCAAACTAAGGTATTTAGCCCATCCTCCTTGAAAATCAAGAGCGCATGCCCGTAACATATCCTCTAAAATCTGATATGTCCTCTCCGTCTGGCCATCTGTCTGAGGATGAAAAGCAGTACTAAACTTCAACTTCGTGCCCAATGATTGTTGTACACACTTCCAAAAGTGAGACGTAAATCTGGAATCTCTGTCTGAAATAATACTCTTCGGAACACCATGGAATCTAACAATCTCCTGTATATATATTTTTGCCAACTTCTCCAAAGAAATACTTGCTGAAATTGGGATAAAATGAGCAGATTTAGTCAATCTGTCCACTATAACCCATATAGAGTCATAACCTCCAGTTGTCTTCGGTAAACTAATAATAAAATCAATTGATATCTCATCCCATTTCCACTCTGGAATCTGGATAGGCTGAAGTTCTCCACCTGGTCTTTGATGTTCAGCCTTAACTTGTTGACACGTCAAACATGCCTGAACGAACTTTGCAACATCTTTCTTCATCCCTCACCACCAAAAGCTTTCCTTCAAGTCGTGGTACATCTTGGTCGAACCAGGATGCATAGTGAATGGTGTCTCATGAGCCTCCTTCATAATCTGCTTCCTCAACCCCTCGATGTCCGGGATGCACAACCTGTTTTGGAGTAATAATCTCCCATTCTCATCCAAACGAAACTCAGGACATTTTCCCTCCTTGACGCACTCCTTCAACTTAACTAACTCGGGATCAAGTTCTTGCTTCATAGCCATGTCCTCAAATATTGATGGAGTCACTGTCATAGTTGCTAGTCGCCCACCTACAATCTCCAACTCAAAATCTTCAATTTCCTTCCTCAACCTTGGATCCATTACCATCATGGACATTACTGTTGCAGAAGACTTCCTACTAAGTGCATCTGCTACCTTGTTGGCTTTCCCCGGATGATAAAGGATCTCACAATCATAGTCTTTCACTAGCTCAAGCCACCTTCTTTGCCTCATGTTGAGGTCCTTCTGTGTGAATATGTATTTCAGACTTTTGTGATCAGTGAAGATCTTGCACTGGACTCCATACAAGTAATGTCTCCAAATCTTCAACGCATGTATCACTGCTGCCAACTCCAAGTCATGGGTAGGATAATTCGCTTCATAGTCTTTGAATTGCCGAGACACATAAGCAATAACTCGTTCATTCTGCATAAGAACTGCTCCAAGTCCCATCTTCGATGCGTCTGTGTAGATAACAAACCCTTCCTTGCCTTCTGGGAGTGCTAAAACGGGTGCAGATGTCAACCTATCTTTCAGCTCTTGGAAACTCTTCTCACAACGATCAGTCCACTCAAATTTCTTACCATTACGAGTCAAGGTAGTCAATGGAAGAGCTATAGCAGAGAAGCCTTCCACAAACTTCCTATAATACCCCGCAAGGCCTAAGAAACTTCGAACTTCTTTCGCATTCTTCGGCCTGCTCCAATCTCGAACAGCTGCTACCTTTGAGGGATCTACCGAAACTCCCTGCTTTGAAACTACGTGGCCAAGGAATGCTACATGATCAAGCCAGAACTCACACTTTGAAAACTTAGCATATAGCTTATGTTTTCTCAGTGTCTCCAGTACTTCTCTCAAGTGTTTTTCATGCTCTTCCTTGGACTCTGAGTAGATCAAAATATCATCAATGAAAACAATGACAAACTTGTCAAGAAATTCTCTGAACACTCTATTCATCAAATCCATGAACGCCGCTGGAGCATTAGTCAGGCCGAAAGGCATAACCACAAATTCATAGTGTCCATACCGCGACCTGAAAGCTGTTTTTGGGGTGTCACCTTCCTTGATTCTTAGCTGATGATACCCTGAACGAAGGTCGATCTTGGAGAAAATCACCGCTCCCTTCAACTGGTCAAACATGTCATCAATTCTAGGCAGGGGATACCTATTCTTGATAGTCACTTTATTGAGCTCTCTATAATCTATGCACAACCTCATTGTGCCATCCTTCTTTTTCACGAACAATACTGGAGCTCCCCACGGTGAGTAACTGGGCCGAATGAAACCCTTCTCTAGCAACTCCTGCAACTGTTTGTGGAGTTCTTGTAACTCCGCTGGGGCCATTCGATATGGTGCTCTAGATATTGGGGCAGTACCAGGCAGCAGCTCAATCTCGAACTCAATCTCTCTACTCGGTGGTAGTCCAGGAAGATCTTCAGGGAAAACATCACTGTAACTCTCTACAACTGGAACTTCAGATAACTGAATGGGTTCAGACTAAGCCGTGGTGCATGATGTTTGCCGACGATATTGTATTGATTGATGAGACACAATCCGGTGTTGAAGCAAAGTTGGAAGTATGGCGACCAACATTGGAGACCAAGGTTTCAGACTAAGCCGAAGCAAGATTTAGTATATGGAGTGCAAGTTTGGTGGAGGTAGAAGTAGTAGCAACAGTGGGATTACTCGTGATGGTAAAGAGATACCGGTGTGTGATATGTTCCGTTACTTGGGCTCCATAATTCAGAATGATGGTGAATTAGATAGAGATGTATGCCATAGAATCAGAGTTGTGTGGATGAAATGGAAGAGTGCTTCAGGATTTCTATGCGATCAAGGTATGCCGACTAGACTGAAGGGTAAATTTTATCGAACATACAGCAATTAGGCCTGCATTGATGTATGACGTAGAGTGTTGGGCAGTGAAGCAATGCCACATTCAAAAGATGAGTGTGACAGAATGTGTATGTTGCGTTGGATGTGTGGACATACCAGAAAAGACCGCTTAAGGAATGAGGTAATCAGACAAAAGGTGGGAGTAGCACCTATAAAAGATAAGATGCATGAGTCTTGTTTGCGGTGGTTTGGGCATGTGCGTAGAAGGCCGAGTGATGCACCTGTTAGACGACTTGATGGGTGCGAAGAAGAGGCAGAGAAGAGAGAGAGGGGAAGACCCAAACAGACTTGGATTAGAGAAAACAGAACTGATATGCATCTTCTTGGGTTGGATGAGAGTATGACTTTGGAGAGAGCAAAGTGGAGGGTGCACATCCGTGTGGGCGATTGATGTCTTTTTTACCTTTCCTCTATTTTTTCTATTATCGTTTATCCTCTTTATCTTTTTATATTCTTATGTTATTTTTATCTTCTATCTTTTTTATGCTCTTTTATTTTTTCTTTTATCTTTCTTATATTCTTTTGTTATTGTTATCTTATACTACCTCCGTCCCAAAAAACTTTGCCATTTTCAAAACTTTAACCAATTATATCTTTTTATTGGAAATTATTTATAATATAAAAAATATATGAAAATGTTCTTTGTTAAAAGTACTTTCATAAAAGTATGAAAATCATGGTTCAATTTGTTTGAAATGGCAAAGTTTTTGGGACGGAGGTAGTATTTATTTAGCTTTATTTTATTCGTTTTATCCTCTTTTTGTCTTTCTTCCCTTTCTTGTCTGTCTTATCTGTTTGACATCGATATCATAGATCGATTCATGTTAACTGACCCCAAATTTTTTGGGGGATTAAGGTTTGGGTAAACAACATAGGGTTCAGTTTCCTACCATGAGCCTAAGTTATAGTGTGATGGACTTAAATGCACATCCATTTCATCGTGTGATGTTTTACATTTAGTTCTTACCATTTATTCAGAATTTATTTAATGTTTTCAAAAAATTCTAACACAATCACGTTTTTTAAATATTTTTAAATATATAATTATATCTAAATTATTATGTGGGTGTCTCACTCCCGTGAAGCGCACGGGTGGAGTAAGAGAGAAAATTCTCCCGCCTAAGCATTCTCCGCATAAAATCCTAAAATTTAATTTCACATTCCGCAAAAAAAAATCATCCTATACTTAAAAGCACTACAATGGAGAGAGAAAAGTCTTCTGCCTAAGCATTCTCCGCCTAAAATCCTAAAATGTAATTTCACTTTCCGCAAAAAAATCATCCTATACCTAAAAGCACTACACTAGAGAGAGAAAATTCTCCCACCTAAGCATTCTCCGCCTAAATTCCTAAAATGTAATTACACTTTCCACAAAAAAAATCATCATCCTATAATCCTAAAATCCTAAAATGTAATTTCATCCTATACCTAAAAGCACTACACTAGAGAGGGAAAATTTTCCCGCCTAAGCATTCTCCGCCTAAAATTGTTAGGTTTGCAATGGCCATTAATAAGAGTCACGGACAATCGTTGAAAAAAAGTTGTCATCTTACTCTGACGCCCCATTATTACTCACAAACATTTGTACGTGGCGATGTGGAGAGTAACAAGCTCATGAAATTGGAGTTTGTAATGACGAAGATGGACAACCAACCAAATCAACATTGAATGTTGTTTACAAAGAAATTTGTACTATAGAGTGATTTATAATTTTCGTTATAGTTGGACTTAAATGCACATCCATTTCATCGTGTGATGTTTTACATTTAGTTCTTACCATTTATTCAGAATTTATTTAATGTTTTCAAAAAATTCTAACACAATTATGTTTTTTTAAATATTTATAAATATATAATTATATCTAAATTATTATGTGGGTGTCTCACTCCTGTGAAGCGCACGAGTGGAGTAACTAGGGTAAACAACATAGGGTTCGGTTTCCTACCTCTAGCTATCCTAGTGAGCCTAAGTCCAAAGATGTCCTTGACTACATCCATGCTGATGTGTGGGGTCCCTCCAGTGTCCCTACCTATGGGGGTATGAGGTATTTTCTGTCCATAATTGATGACTTTTCTAGAAAAGTCTGGGTCTGTCTGTTAGAACACAAATCTGATGTGTATGTCAGGTTTAAAGAGTGGAAAATTATGGTAGAAAATCAAACTGGATGTAAGGTTAAAACCCTTAGAACTGACAATGGACTAGAATTCTGCAATAAGGATATGAATAGGCTGTGTACTGAGTGTGGGATTAGGAGACACAAAACTGTGCCCTATACTCCCTAACAAAATGGTTTGGCTGAGAGAATTAATAGGACCCTCCTAGACAAGGTTAGGAGTATGTTAGCCACTTCTGGTCTCCCTAAGAAGTTTTGGGGAGAAGGTGTTAACACTGCCACCTACTTGATCAATAGGTCTCCTTCTGTACCCTTAGAGGGTAAATGCCTTGAGTCTGTCTTCTCTAAGAAACCCCTTGACCTGTCAAACTTAAAGGTGTTTGGGTGTGCTGCCTATGTACACCAACAGACTGACAAACTGGATCCTATGTCCAAAAAGTGTGTTTTCTTAGGTTACCCTGAAGGGGTAAAAGGGTATAGAATCTGGGATAGAAGTCAGAGTGGTTTTAAGGTCATTATAAGCAGAAATGTTGTGTTTAATGAAATTGATTTTCCCACCTTAGTTAAGACTGTGACTGACCCTCAAACTGAACCTGATAGCACCCCTCCCAGTGAGGTGGAGCCTATCTGGTCTGCTGCCCATCTGATGAATGAGTTTGTTACTCTTGACTTGACAAACACTATGCTTGACACCTCCTCCACCTCGAGTGAGATGGAGCAGCCCAGTGGATTTAATAATAATGATGAAAGTATGCATGATGTGTTTGCTGGTAATGACTCTACTAATGACAATCATGAAACTGCTACTGATAGTCAAGGTCTTGATGACTATCAGTTAACCAGAGATAGGACTAGAACAACCATAAGGAAGATTTCTGATACCATGATTGACTATGCATTTCATCTGTATGATACTTCCTTATTTGCATTCTCTGATTTTGAAACTCTTGAGTTGAATGAACCTAAAACCTACCAAGAAGCCCTTGCCTCTAGAGAAATAGGTTCCCTTAAGTTGAATAAAACTTGGACCCTAGTTCCTAG